ATAACGCTGAATGTCAGACAAACAGACAATTCTCAATTTTGTATTAAAATATGTACTTTTTGCCTATAGGAATGTCTAACTGCATTCTTACTCAACAGCCAACCGAGTTAAAACGAATAATGACTTGCCAAGTTGATGTCAAAATAATTCGAAACGATTGTGCAAATTAAAATTTATGAAGTCTTAAATAGTGTTCTAAAAAACTAGAACGCAATAGACTAAACAAATAGCTGTCATACTTCTTATCAGATTGTAAGAAAATATTCGAGAACGTTTTCAAGGGAAGAAAACCTCGTCAAACTAACCAGACTTTGTCAACGGTATAATAATTGAAGGATGTTTACAGCTTTGTTAGCTTATCGATGGTTTATTTAAGCTTTCAAACTTAGTTTTTTAAGAGTTGGAAATAATTTTGTGTCACTTTTCTATTTTGTGTCACTTTTCTTAAAAGTGTTCTTTTAAAACGCTGACTCGAGTTATTTGATTTTTTTTAAAGAAATGAATTGAGCCAAACTGTCGTGCAGCTTTTCAACGTTTGATCTAAACGTCACCTCATCTCACATCACGATTAGTTTGAGTGTAAGGTAACAACTGAAGTAAAAAATCGGTAGATTGTTACGAATTTAGCTGGAAATGTTTACCAATTATTTTAATATGTCGATTTAAGTCTTTGGTATGTACTTTTAAGTTCGTATGTGAAGAAAACATAAGGGTTTGTTAATCCGAAATATGACAGATTAACATCATCGCCTACTCATTATACCGATTTATATAATTGTCTGCATAGGATAATTCCCGAAATATCCTATACAACGCCATTAAATTGAACCAGACAATGTATCATTGACTTTTTACAATTATTTTTAGTAAAAGCAAGAATTCGGCTAACGAACGATTTCGTAATCCTCAGAGAATCGCTGTCTTACAAGACGGAAAAAATGGCAAGGCACTCGTTTTGATTAAGTTTTAAAATTTTGACAAAAAGTTAGCTTTTTCATACTGCTGATATTAGATACCGTGAACTTACCAAAGTAATCATCTGAACGACATTTCTCTGATGTACAATGTATGTGCATAATATTCGAATTGCTTGCTTTGTTCACTAATGAGCTGAATAAATAGGGAAAACATTGGAAATGTCATACAGATTGACATGAAGTATGATGAAAGGGCTTAACTACAAAGAAGAGGTATTATAATACATAGTTTTGATATTTCGTATGTTACAAATTCTGGTTAACCTCTTAATATATTGATTCATCGTTTTTAATTCAAATATGGATTAATTGTTGTAACAATCTGAGTACTGTGATTGGTGTTTATGTCCTTTAGGTCAAAGTCAACAGTTCAACTACTAGGAAGGGGTTGTTAGTGAAAACTGTGATATCATAAATGATACTTGTGCAAGTAATCACTCTGATTGGCTATTCAGTCACTTCTTTAACTGACTAAATCAACTTAGGTTTCGAAGAAAAAAAGCATTAAAAGTGTCTCATTTTTTTCAAACTTTTGTAGATATATATAAATCTTTTTCTTTTGTGGCGGTTTCGTATATTAAAGGGATATGATGCGCATTGGCGATTCTTCTCCCACTATTTCTTTTTATTTTCATATTAAATGCCAGGTACATACTCAGACTGTAATAATAATTAACACGTGGATAAACGATTCTGTTTCTAAAGCTGTCTAGTGGTCTGATATAATATACCGATGCCGGTAGCGGGACCCACGCCTACATGCTAACAGCAGACAGAAGCTCTAGACCTCACGGTAGATGTTAACAAGTGTCCTATATATAATGATGACATTTCGGTTTTTATGTATCCCTATATCACTAACAAACAGTTACTTAGCAATGAACATTTTTTTTGCATAACTATAGCTTTTAAAAGTTATTTCCGATAAAAAACCATACCTTGGTTTGTTTATAAAAAATAATGTATACTCATCAACAGTGTTTTGAGTGTAAAAAAGCAGCAGGGTTATACCAGGATTCGAACGCATGTCGATCAGGTTCCTACGCTGTCGCTGTACCCATCCGAGCTACTTGGTCAACAGAAATGTCTTGGTGCAAATGTGCTTTAGTTCTATCTAAAACAAAATAAAGAGAGGTTATTGTATATGCGCAAAACCATATTGCGGTGGGAACAAGGATCCTTAATAACGTGGAAATACTGAAATGTTGTTCCGGTCAGACGATATTATTGTAATACTTGCTTTCATTGACCAGTAGGTATGAGGTCACTACAAGTATCAACAGACCTATCTATAGCTGTGTTAATACTGTTAATAACCATCTCCTACGTTTAAGGATCCCTGTCCAACTGTAGACAAAACACTAAAGAAGTCTACAGTATTGTTCATACACTAGAAGTATAACAAGTTCACCTTTATTTCGTGTATATAACTGTAGCACGTACAGGACTGAATGAGAATGCGGCCATTGACCAGGTTACTCATTTGCTTACAGCGACAATATATGTTTCATCATAATATAAATATTCAAAAAAATACTTAAAATAGGTATTTTGTTCAGATTATTTATAAAAACTGTAGTCATGTTGGTAAAAAGTTCCCCTTTCGCAGCTACAATTTTCTAGTATAACGGGGTTCCTATAAAACAGAAAGAGAACGCCCCTTTATAGCACATTAATAACAGTTAATTGAGGAGGATTTTTAAATATATTGAAATTTATCATGGAATTAAAAATATATTATTCAAGATAATTATCGTGTCCCAAAATCTGCATAACGAAATATAGGCAACTATCTAATTATTACCGTTCAAGTTAGTAATGTTTTAATTTTAGCGTTGTTTAAAGTTAACGCCAATTAAGGCTTTGGTATTGACAATCCATCTATTATAGGACAAAATAAAACATGAAGACTGGATGTATGACTCGTCTCCAGTGGCATTCGTGTAAAACGCCAATTAATCCATGCTCTGAAGGGTTTGACGAAATGATGATAGTTTATCTTTGAATTGTATAGCAGCGATCAATTTCCAACAGCCGAAATGATAGCAGTGTTTCTATTTCAGCCTGTAAATAGTATTATAAACCATCCTTAATCGCAGTGGTATAGATCATTCCGTGCTGGCGGTAAATCTTTAGCCGTTATGATGCTTGGTAGCGAATATATCCATTTGATGTGACAGACTTTAGACATGCACGAAGACACTAGTTTATGTCATAGGAAATATTTTTGCAACAAACAGCTTCTATGGCAGACATGGGACAACGGTCCGTAAATAGTCTATGCACTTCCTCGTTCACATCTGTTTACTATTGCACAAATATAAGTTTATGCAAGCAATAGAATCTCAACGTCCACCCCCTTTTTTATTTGATAAAAATCTACGAATATTGTCAAATTAATGGGTTTACATGAATATTTGTCCTCCCGAGAGATGCTTTGTATCCCATGAGTAACAATATGTCAACAAGATTCACACATTTACCTACTTTTAACGATTTACAGTGATATTAGATATTTCTAAGCCAAATTTTTGTGGTTTTCATCCAAAAACACCAATTGGTGTTTACCAGCATACGTAGATCGATAGAACACACGGAAGCTAGCAGTATACTAATCACACAAAAAAACTTCATGTCAAACCTTTAATTACTTCATGGACATCCATGCATGATTACGATTAAGAAATTAAGAACCACGCGAAAATAAGTGATTTCACAGCATTTGTTTCATTTAATGATGATCTGATGCTAGCAAATCGTATCTTTGAAACAAAAAATAGGAAGTAACAGATTCAAAATCATCAGAGATGCTGAATAACATTCCGATCTGTAAATGATTTTAGCATTATTGTAATTTGCTAATCTACATGACAAATAAGATATATAAAATTCGATGGTGTGTTAGGCGTAGATACAATGACATTTCAACAACACAGGGGACAGATAGCGTATTGCTGTCAAATTACCTTACTAGTGTTACAGATTCTGGATGGCTTTGTTTACAAACCACAACTAACTTTACAAATTACGAACGCTAATTCATTGAAGCAAATCTGTATTGCGTGAGAATCTTTACCAGCTTGAAGACAGGTTTATTTATACGAAACTTTGTTATATCTTTATTTCGTATGGTAATTTGTAATTAAAAAGTCACATGTGTATAGACAATGAAAACACATTAATTCCCTGTCCAATAATTCCAACCAATATGTAATACGTGACCGGTTATCTGACTCCCCCGGGAGTCATCCTTGATTGTTTTACTTAATGGAGTGACAATAACGTGTATGTCTTTTGAACCGTAATGAAGAGAGATAATATACTCCGATAATTTTCTCGAATTAGATAATGTGTGTAAGGTATGGGAGAGAGGGAATGATTGAGACCCGAAATTATTAAAAATGGCCCAGAAAGAAAATGTACAATAGTTATTACATGGTGTGGGATTTCCGTCTTAGATCGAAAGCATATCATTTTACTTAGAGACATTTGTGTTTTTACGTCGGATAAAGATAAAAGTACAACACCTCTATACAAATAAACACGCTTGTTCAAATATCTGACTGATCAAAGGTAATATCGAACCCTACAACGAATTTCGATCAAAACAATGGAATTTCCATTAAAGTATGTTAAGAGAAGGTACTGATAATACTAATCACTTGTTCATGGATACTTCGCTATTTATATGACAATGAAATATGTTGATTTTATCTTCAATGATAATTAATTTGTCGGTGTAAGCAAAAGTTCAGTAAATGTCGTAAACTGTAACAATAAGAAAACTTAATTTTATGATTGCTCTTACGTACATCGATTTTCGTTCGAGGAAATTAATTTCCGACGCAAATAACTACTGCTAGATGTCTATTGCTCAAAAGAATATGAATAAGTTTATTAACTTTCATAAGCAACATATTTTTTCGTAGTAGATAAAAGACAAAATCAGAATAACGGAGTTCCCTGTTTGCAATCATGCCATATATGTTATAATTTGCTCACGACTTGTGTTTGTTGTTGCAGCGGTGTACTTAACCATCCTGTTGACCCTGAGCGGACTGTCTGTCGCCTCTACAGTGATGGTACTTCATTTCCATCATCGAGAGAGGAAGTCGAAAACTTTACACGTCACGGAGAGAGTAGTCGATGACGTAGTACACAATAGTCGATTGTATAAGGTGTGTCGCCCAAGTGCAAACAATAATCGTAGAAAAACTACACAAATAACGAAGAATGGACTCAGGCCATCGACTGAAAAACTCCTTCAGGACTACATGGAGATCGATGACTCTGAGGCTAATCCAGTTCAAGAGAACTGCTGCGTGAACTGTGCGTCTAAAGTGGCTAAGTGGCACTGTTGTGCGAGAAGTAGAAAACCCCGAAAGTATTTAGGGAAAGAGTTTGCACAGAGTTTAGATAATGTGCTATTTTGTATAGTCACTATACTAACAGTACTTTCAACCGTTATAGCCATGATCTTGTTGATATACTGGTGATCATGGTGGATTATTTGTTTATTTGCACCAGATGAATCAAATGATTCCGTTACAGATAAAAAAAAAATCATGTCAGAGCACCTATTGCTAGTGTATATTCTGCCGGTGATATAAACACCGTCAAGTGATAAACCGCTTTCCTCCACATGTCGTGCACTTGAAAGTATCTGTTTTCTGATGAGAGAAATCATAATTAACTTGTGGGTGTTAAATTCTTTATTTTACATTTCTCCTTCACCATTTCTGGGGAGGTAAAGTTAAACGATCTATTGGCCCTTTTTTAGGTCACCTGAGACAAAGTTTCAAATAACCTATAGCGATCGCCTTTTGTCTGGCGTCGTGCGTCTTGCGTCGTCCGTCCGTAAACAATTTTTATTTCCGACTTCTTCTCCAAAACCCCTGAACCAATTTCAATGAAACTTTGCATAAACCTTTCATGGCCAAAGGTCAACCAAAATTGTGAATTATATGATCCCCAGCCCCCAGGGGCTTCTTTTCAAGATCCAGATATGGTAGAATCAAATAGTCTTCATAGATGGAAGAGTCTTAAGGTGCTTTACCAAAATAGTGAATTTCATGAGCCTGGGGTCCTGCGTGTTCCCCTGGGGAGGGGGTTAACTTTACTATAGTTTATATTGGGAAATCACATTTTGGACCAGCATTTGTTTAATTTCCATTGGAATTAGTTCAAACTTGGTTAGCATTATCAGTATTGGATAGCAATTTTATGAAATGCACAAATCAGTCCTAACTTACCCCAGGGGCTGATGGTTGGGGTCAAAAAGGGTCAAATTGACTTTAAATTTCAAAAATCCACTTCTCAAGATCCAGATATATGAATCAAATACTCTTCATAGATTGAAGGGTCTTAAGGTGCGTTACCAAAATTGTGAATTTCATGACCCTGGGGTCTCACGTTTCCCCCTGTGGAGGGGGTAAACTTTACTCTAGTTTAATTGTGAATGATATGGTCCCCAGCCCCCAGGGGTCTGAGAGGCGGGGCCAGAAAGGGTCAAATTGACTAAAATTTCAAAAATATTCTTCTCAAGATCCAGATATGGTAGAATCAAATACTCTTCATAGATGGAAGGGTCTTGAGGTGCTTTACCAAAATTCAGCTAACTGACAGAACCATTATTTGTACATAGTTCATACACTACCATTCATTCACACTGCTTATTTATTACATGTAATTCAAGTTACCTTTGTTACAAAATGAGTTCCTTTTCATTTGGCAACAGCGCTAACATCAGTTTTTTCATAAATCATGTGACCGTTAAGGCCCATGGGCCTCTTGTTTCAGTTTACATGCACATACATAATATAGCTTTAGCGCATTTAGGAAAATAGCTGTAACTTTACGCTTACCATCTGGGTAATCATTTTTAGTATTTTTTTTAGAGGGATTCGAGTTTGTTTAACTTTATGTTTTACTGTCGTGTGATAGTGTTATTGTTCTGAAATTTTTTAAAGGATATGATGTTTTTAAGTAAGGCCATTTGTATTGGAATTGCAAAGGTAAAATTATTCACTAATTCTGCTGCGAAATTTAACTCAATATTTACTGTATGTATTTATCATAATATTTATACTTTTAGTATTGCCCGGATTATAAATGGTTGGCCATGTTTTCCTAAACATTGTTAACAGAGACTGGATTTTACCAATTAGTGTATCTTTAACACTTGATGTTCTTTATTTAAATGTTATATCAACAAGCACAAATAATTAATACTTCAAAAAATAACAAATCACTGTCACCTAATTCAGGTTTCAAACATGTCTCTTGTCTGAAATATCACCGCTTGATAGTTATGAATAGTCGTTACGTGAATATCCGAACACTACAATTGTAACAATAACATGTAATCAAACAAAAATTGAAACATACATAATTTCAGCAGTAATTTATGTCTAACATTTATACAATTGCAATTATCTGAAAGTATAATTATAGCCAGGCTATTTTATTACGAAATATATACCTAGAAAGGTTAATACCTCCCCCTGCTAACCTACCATGTTTCTGTCTTATGTTCTTTTATTTTTTACTGAGTATGTGTACATGTATATATCTGCAGCTGATTAAAAAGCAATTTGCTAAATTTGGTTTCTTTCATAGTGGATTTGTTTTTATTTCAGTTTAACTGTAACCTCTGCTAACGTTGCATTTAACCATATTTCATTTAAAGAACAGAGCAGGGTGCTCTTATTAAATGATGATCGTTAGGGTGACTGTTTTCATATTTATTGCAGAATGCAAGTACGAAGCTGCCAGACAGAAATTGATTTTCAAGAGTAATGTATTGTCCGGTACAAACCTAATTTTGTTACAAAAATCAATAAATCAACTTTTATCCTTCGGCATAAAAGAGACCAAGTTTATTCCAGTATTTTGCAGTGTGCAATATTGACCCGAACACACATAAGATTATTCTTAGTTAATCCAAGCTTGTCAGACCTGACTCAGTTACAAAGACCAGAGCGCACATGACGCAGATTCATCATTTTGCAGACAAATGAATACTTTATTAACACTGCCGATTTATCTCAGTGATTTATGCCTGGGTTAATTCATTTCTATATTGTATTAAAGTTTCACTGAAAATGCACATCATTCCAAACAATTTTGTATTAACAAATGACGCTTTCCAAAATCCATTTTGTATAGACTGGAATTGATTTTATTTTATTGATATTTGCTAAGATTCATATTAATTATATTGATGACATTTTGAACATGTTCTTGTAGCATGTGCATAAAGTGAATTTTGTTACGGTGTAATTGTGCACTTTCTTTTCTATTTGAAAAATAACTTGCATTCTTTATCGTAACATATCTTTGTAAACGTTTTTGCAGAACAAACATTTTTTTGTAAGGAAATCACATAGCTGTTCGATCATCAAGTGTTAATACTCCTTAGTTGGAAATGCCGAATTTAACCAAAGCTTCTATCATCCATCTCATCCCCATCCATCCCATGGGCTCTGCTAACTTACGTCCTCTACAACTCTGCAATATGTCATGACAAAGTTAACGATATTTTTTGCTATGATTGAAAGATTCCAGTACATCTATATGTCGTGATGAATGAAAGGCATTGTAACGATTCTTCAGGGCCCCCACAGTAGTCGCTTTTGACGATACACATGCAGTGGGATAAAACATATCTATTCTTGATTTGTTCAATGTCCCCTAAAAAGAAGTAAAGAAAGAAACCACCCCGATTCTGCAGGGGGCACCTTAGTCGCCTCGTACGATGCTGTGTGATGCAGCAAGACTATTCTTTGACACGGGTTTACTACAGTATGTGGTTACTGATATTTACAGCAGTAATTATCATAACGAACATGAGATATTTACTTGCTAGAACTGTGTGTGAATGAATCACATGCTGAAAGCTAGCAGTAGCTTGAATTCTGTGAGTGCTTTATGCAAGTTTTTGGAGAAGTCATTTAGAGGAAAAATTGACAGACGACAACGGACGGACGACGGACGCCGTACCATGACATAAGCTCACTAGCCCTTCGAGCAGGTGAGCTAAAATCAATCGATACAGATCAATTGTTACTTAAAAGATTCATTTCGTCTCCTTTTAGAATAATAAATAAGTTGTGTTTTTAAAATAAACTTCAATAAAATGACTTTAATACATTGTAACTAATGATATATCAGGAATTATCCATTTTATAAATTCATGTAAGATATACGAAATGTTTTATTTTCACATATGAAGATATCAGTTTTAGTATTGTCCAATCAGAACGTAACTTTCTATTCACTAAATAGATTTTCAGTTTCAAGCTATTTGTACACCTTTGCAACATACACAATTGATATCATCTTTGTAAGGGAATCGTAATAGCAGCAAACGACAGAATTTCGTTGAGCTACAGGTACCCATTCAAAATTGCTCCCTGCTTTGTTTTCAATAGTGACGTTACAAGAGTGATTTATATATATGGTATTCACCGGGAAACCATTAAATATCCTCTACATATATACGAAAATAACAGCCGACAACTGTCTTATACAGAATGTAGAAGGGCTATAATTTAGATTTGCCAGCTCTAGCAAATATATAACACTATTTCAAGACACTTAGATATCCATGTTTGATTCTATAGCCCTCCAAGGTTTCAAAAGCAACGAACACAGCACGTTTCCTTAAAACTGCTAATGTTTTGTCCATTGCTAACAACAATATACAAAGATGACGAAAACAATTTAATTGAAGCAGCATTAACCTCCGGTACACGTTCGGAAAAGTAGAACGATGTCTCGCATACTTCAAACAATGCTTGAACTGACATAGACATTCGGGTACGATCACCAAATTATGTTTTACATGTTTATGGACAATTAGACTGTCGCTTTTTCACATATTTAGTATATCTGCCAGTTATTACATGTTACTTTACTCCTTTTGTATATAACTTAGGCGAGGGGTTTTATTTGTATAAATTTATTTATATAGCGCTTTCGGTCACTTGTTATTAGACACTTCCATTGCTTGTTGCATCAAGAAATGCAACCAGTATTGTAACGTGCAAGCGGGTAAGCATCCAGCAACTAACTAAGCTCGACCGTGTTGAATTTACCGCATCGCTAGTAAAGCTTTTGCAAGTAAGGCAGTATCTTCTCCCCGTATTCCTTGGCTGTTTCACTTTGTTCATTACTGGTTAAACTATTCAAAGCGGTGTAGTAGGAGAGGTCTTGAAGTTCAAGCTGAGGGAATGGACCTGATAGCTGCAGAATTCTGCGATTATGTCTCAATACAAATACTGGGGTATGTTTCATTGGGCCTGTACTAATCCCTCAACGCTGTGCAATGCAAATGTATCGTTTTTGTGTGTAAACCGCTTTACGTGTGTTTTAGCCAGTTATTTACATTAGAATTTATCATTTACATTTACTAAGTATAAAAACTTCATTCCACCGATTTTTGACTCCAATTTACGTTGATCAACTAATGAAAATTGCTTTGAATAAATATGTT